AGTTATTCTTGAGGCGTTAGTATTATATAGCTCCAATCCTCCACACCAAGCACGCACTGTAGTAAAATCCACTCCCTTCAAAGTGCTTCAATACTTTTAAGGGAAAGCAATGTAAGTGAAATTAGTCGTATTATATTGGTTACCACTACATCTGTACATATAATAAAATTCTAACTAAGCCGAATCTGTACATTAAATATTTTTTTGAAAATCTTATTGAAATAAACATTATTATAGATACAGAGGTTGAATCTATAGTTTTTAGAATATTTGTCTGTCTGTTACCGCATCACAGAAAAATCACTGGAGGGATTTTGATGAAATTTGGTATGATGATAGCTGGTTATCCGGATCAACAATAGGATACTTTTTACTGCGGGAAAATATGTCATCTCTACGAAATCTATACTAAACTTTAAAACGTACTTAACTTAAGTAGGGACGAACCCGAGCGAAAAGAGGGTGAGTCGCTAGTCATATTTATGGAACGTGCTTTAGGATAAAAAATATTGATAGAAATGTGGGTGGATGTTTTTCATGATGTTTTCCCAGTTTCTAGAGAGTTCATTTTCCTGTTAGAAAATTCCCTTTTTATCGACTTTACAAAAATAGGTAGATACTGTGTTTGACGTGTACATTTTTTAGATGTCTACTAGCATTGCCCGCGGCTCCGCCCGCGTTCAGATGTAAAAGCAAATTCTTAGGTTTTACATAGTATTACTATACTCTTACAATACAGTTTTTGTATTTTTCTCAGAAATTAGATATTTTCCTGCGGTAAAAAGTATCCTATATGTTGACCAGCTATCACCATACCAAATTTCATCAAAATCCCTCCAGTGGTTATTCTGTGATGCGGTAACAGACAGACAGACAGAGAAAAATTCTAAAAACTATACATTCGGCCTCTGTATCGATCGATCGATGTATATCTCAATAAGATTTTCCAAAAAATATTTAATGTACAGATTCGGCTTAGTTACAATTTTATTATATGTATAGATGTAGATTAGATGTTATTTCATGAAGTGCCTTCTGATTCTATTGTCATGATATCTCATTTATACGGTGTTATTATTTGAAGTAAACTAACTTGATTTTATTATTTAATTGGAAATGTTCCATTTACATTTAATTATCAAAACGATGTTGTAATTTAATTTTATTATGATTAACTATTCCTACACTCTTTCCAGCGACGACATTGGATGTTCAAACAAGAGAAAAGATATATAGACATCCATATTAAATTTAATAATTCAACAAAATATGTGTTTATTACATTAACATACTAATAGCCAAGATTTCTAACCAATTCTGAAAGAAAATTTCTATTACAGTAGAGAAAACTGGCAATACTAAACTATCGATTATCTATACATTTAATAAAATTCTAACCAAGCCAAATCTGTACATTAAATATTTTTTGAAAATCTTATAGAAATAGTCATTATTATCGATACAGAGGCCGAATCTATAGTTTTTAGAATTTTTGTCTGTCTGTCTGTCTGTTACCGCATCACGAGAAAACTACTGGACAGATTTTGATGAAATTTGGTATGGTGATAGCTGGTTATCCGGGTCCAACATATAGGATACTTTTTAAATGTCTCATTTCTGAGAAAAATACAAAAACTGAAATGTAAGAGTATACTAATATGTAAAACCTAAGAATTTGGTTTTTGGTCATCTAAACGCGGGCGGAGCCGCGAGCAATTCTAGTTTAAATTATAATTATGCTTATCGTATTATTAAGATATATTATTATTGAAACCAGAATTACTCAAATATTTTTGTATGCCAGTAACATAATAAAAGGAATCAAAATTTAGTAAATCGTTCAAGATTTTGTAGTGAAGAAAGATTACATCAAACATTGCAAGATATCCTAAAGCTTAATTGATGGATATCCCAGTTTGGAATGCGTCCAAATAGACATAGTTGTAAATAAGTTGTCCCAAGTTACATAGCTTGTTATTAAGTCCTCTTCCTTAACAGTAACAGTCATAGTAACTTTTGCAGAATCGAAATTAAAACATCGGAAGAAGTGCTATCGAATTTTTGTCACATTCCACGCAGAGACAAAGTTTCCTTTGAACGGAAAACTTTTAATACACTCGTATAAGTTCATCATTAATGGCAAGGTGCAGTAATTTTTTCTCATTTTAATATTTTTTAAGAATATATAATACTAGCAGAACCCGCGGCTTCGCTCGCGCTAAAACTACAAAAAATCTCTAAAAAGGTAGTTTCATACAAACTTCATCCCCTATTAGGATGAATTTGGAAAAATTCTATAACACGTATTTATTTAATTTTATTGAAGAGCTTTAATACCAAGTTCCAGGTAATTCTGATCATAAACATTTTTTTGAATTGTATTATAACTTGTTTTCCCGTGGGAATTAGATAATCTCTCGCGGTAAAAAGTAGCCTATGTCACTCTCCAGCCCTCCAACTATCTCCACACAAAAAAACACGCCAATCCGTCGTCCGTAATATATTTAGACGAGCAATTCTTGTGTTTATATATATCAGAATCGTATTTTCGAGATTTCATGCAGTTTTCTTTTGCATTATTCCACGCAAAATATAGTCGGTAATTTGCACGCTCGGGTACAAGCATCGCGGTCAAGCGGCCAAGGTGCAAGATCAAAAATCACAGGTATCCAGGTTCAAATCTCGATCGCATACAGTTTTTACTTTTATTTTATTTTTAATATTTATTCAAGTTTTTAGTCTTTTTTTAAAAAAAAGACGCAAGATTGACAATCATAGGTGTAGGTGTGTAGGTTCGAATTCCGGTCGGACACAAAGGTATATTTTTTTTTGTATTTATTCAAGTTTTTAGTTTTTTTTTAAAGAAAATTATACTTTTTAAGCAAAAACTCCGAGCGAAGCTCGGTGGCCCAGGTACTAATATTAAAACAAAAGAGCTTCCCTAAACGCGGTTGATATTAATTACCATATAATTCATCGAAATCAACCCTTGACCCGCAATTACCCGGTCAGGGGTCATTAGTGATGCTGCAACGATATCGTTCGTAACGTATTGTATGAACGATACAAGTTTCTATTATTTATGTTCTAGAAGCGCTTAGTTGTAGTTTAGTTGATTTATTTTAAGTAAGTTGTTACAAATCATAAATTACTAAGTGTCAGCTGTTTAGTTAGACTTTGTTGGAATAGCAGATTATTGTTATTTGCTTCTAAAGTATTCGGTTCTTTTTTAATGTCTAACTTCCCTTCAATACGAGGGAGATCAGGATAGTCCACCACGCAGCTAAATACGGGTTGGTGGACTTCACATGTCTTTTGAAAAATTTGATAGGTTATCTCAAACATGCAGATTTCCTTAAGATGTTTCTCCACCGTTTTCTCCTCACCTCACGATTGTTTTCCGTTAGACTAGTAATAATCATGTTGGAAATGATTCGCACATGAAAATATCAGACGTGCGAGAAGCAAATTTGAACCCGTTTCACTCGATTTTTCAAGCGAGCGAGTTACCATTGGGCTACCACTGCCTTTGCCTATTTGCCTATAGAAGTATATATGTGTGTATGTATATTGTATATAAATACAACGGTGTTACTCGCAGTTGTAAGTTGATCCAGAGACTCTCCGTGGGTGCCTTTATTTTATACAACTCGTTGAAAGTTGTTAAACAAAGTTTTTCGAGACCACCGCAGAGAATAAAACTAGGCTGACATGTGTTTGTTTTGGTAAGGTTGGGTTTGTTATGTGATTTCTATTAACTGACCCCTTAGAAAAGAAGAGAATAGACTTTATTCAAGCAATCTATGCTAATATTCTAAAAAGCAGTTTGTTTGAATGTGGTAATCTTACGAACTTCTAATCCGATTGAAAAATATTTTTGCCCGTTTATTGAGGAATGCAATAGGCTACACATGATTATATATTTTGTAGTCTATATATTCCATACTAACCGTTAAAACGTACGTAAGTGAAGAATACTAATGAATTTTTATTTTTAACTGACTCCAAAAAAGACACGTAGAGAAGATGGCAGAGAATATATATATATATATATATATATATATATATACTATTACGAGTTTCCATTTTGAGTTTTTTTATTATTTTATTAGGTTTTCGTTTCAATGTTATCCGAAAAGTGAGCAATATACGAGATTTTAAGTCTATTGTTACAAATCTAGAATATTGTGTTTTTGTTTAACTTGTGTATTTCTCATGCTGGAGTCAACCTTTAGAGGAGTATGTCTATCTATCTGAGACATTTGTCAGGAATACAATTAGAAACACATAATCTGGTTATAAACAATTAGCTCACGCAGGAATCGAACGTGGGCCTTTCAATATAATACACAATACGTCAGATAACATCACTGCACTACAATGGTCTTTATACTTGACGTGTACATGAACAGAGTACTAAAACTTTAAATATTTACGGTTCGTATCAGTTCAATAGCATTTGAGATGTGAAACCTTCTGGGAATAATTCGACGAATGTCCGCTTTGAGCTTACAACTTCACTCATATAGGAAATCCTGTCAGAGTATTCTCCTTTACTTAGTTAGCAGTATATTGTTCAATTTAGTCTCCCGTATAGTGTTGTCTTGTATGGTTTTTATACTTCATGTATACGTACGATATTGTTAATGTAAATGGAATAGTGGTAGCCCAGTGGAATGATGGAAGTGTCTTTTAATTAAAATGAATATACAGTATCTGTTGTTACATTTATTTAATCTTATGTATTGTGTAAGCTTTACATAGATTATCTGTGCTATATTTGAGATATATTCAATATTCAATCTGTGATATATTCAATCTGTGCTCAGTTGCGCCAAGACATTTGTCATGCGATGGTAAAAACTAATTAGTTTTTAGAAGATTGTATCCTAGGCATAACATATATAATAATATTATATAATATTATGTAAGAGTTACAAGAATAATTAAAGCCTTAAACAATTATTAATGATGTTTTCTTAAATTACACAGTATAATTACAAATTTGCTTGAATCCATGTCAGGAAGGACGTAACACGAGTGTAAACAGATGGATAGCCCGCTTCACATTTTTCAGCTAAACCGAAGGATACTATACCAACCTGAAAATATATTTTTTTAATAATCTCAATTGATTTGTAATATTAGACTAATATTATCCGTATTAATATTATGAACGTGAAAGTTTGTGAGTATGGATGTTTGTTACTCTTTCACGCCAGAACAGCTGAACGGATCTAGATGATATTTGACACAAAGATAGGTTATAGTCTGGCATAATACATAGACTACTTTTTATCCCGGAAAAATGTACTCTTCCCGTGGGATAGGTTTGCTTTTGTTTTCCTAGAGGCGAACCCAAGCGAAGCGAGGGTCTAGTAAATGCAATAATTTGTATCAGTGTGTGTATGTATGTACGTTTGTATGTAATTTTTACTCCTTCATGATAAAAAGGCTGGGTTGATTTGGATGAAACTTAGTAAATAGATAAGAATTTTTTTGGAGCAAAGAATACATACCAACTTTGGCATTTAACATATCTTACCAATATCCTTTTATTGTTCTGAAGGACTGTCAGTGGACCTCCAGAATCACCATCACAAGTACCTACTCCTTTTGCGCCATCAGTACAAAGGTGACTCCCATCGAGGGTAATATCAAAGCTCTTCTGACACTGTACATTGGTCAGAATGTTTAGGTTGATGTGATATAGGCTTGATGTCGATGGGGACGAACTCGCACCTGTTTTTATGATAATAAATAGATAAATCTGAAAAAATTGTTTGCTTGAATGCTATCCAAGGAACTAATAATCCGACTGGATTTTTTTGCAATTTATAGGCTGTAACCTCAATAGGTTACAGACTATGGAGTAACACGCTTTTAGAAGTAGGACATACACATAATAAATTACGCAGGTAATCACTAGTTTATATTATAATATGGAATTTGAAGGTATTTTCTTTATACATATGTCGAAAACTGTATATGTATTGATCAAAAATGAAAACATGACAACGAATACGTCTGGCAATAATAAATGTTAGTTTTAAACACTGTTCTGTAATAATATTAAATTAAAAATAAAAAAAAATCCATATGTAATTCGCCTTTTGTGGTGGCGGCCATCTTGTATTTGAAATTTATCATAGTTTATAATATTTTACTAATCAAGCCCTTTCGTTTGATACCCATATTCAGGGAGTTGTGAAAAAATATGTAATCCGCTATTTTGTGGTGGCGGCCATTTTGGACCGATTTTCATCAAACATAGCTAAAAACACTCAAGACTAATTCAATTTTCAAACAAAAATAACAAAATCAAAATCGGTTCACACAGACGTTAAATTTACAGCACCTCATTGTTTTTGCGCCGAGGGTTAAAAAAACATGATGTAAAATAAAGTATTAAATAAATATAAATATGTTGGGACATTAACACACAGCACTATCCAGTTCCACGGTAAGCTACTAGGCTTGTGTTATGGACACCAGATAGTTGATACACTACGCATATTATATAACTTTAAATACATACATAATATAAATTAAATAAGTAAATTAATATAAACACCCATGACTGGAGTACAAACATTCGTGCTCATCATTCAAACGATTCCTCCCAGCGGGACTCAAACCCACGACCTCTGGCACAGCAAGTAACCCTTCTTGCTGTGCCAGAGGTCGCAGGTTTGCACTACAAAATGAGCCAAACTTCTACGCACAGGATTGTACCTACTCTTACCATCTGTAATTTTTCCATATCCTGTAGCAACGGCTGATAGACCAGCAAAGTCCTGATTAACATCTGAAGTAGTTGGTAACGAAATTGCTTGAATGTTGGCTAAAATAAAAATAAAAAGTTTTGTATAAATGTAAAATGAATGAATGAACTTAAAAGTTCAGTAGCGTCATATAATATAACTACTTTACGTATGCTTAGATTATGTCATTTATGTACATATATCTAATCTTATTTTGTATTAACTGGACATTACGTTATTTAGACTATTACGAGCAGTATCCGCGACTTCACCCGCGTTCAAACTTCCAATCACTACCAAACTTCACGGAATCATTCGTTTAGGAGTCCATAGGGAACATATGTATGTATATACACACATCGATATTTATATATACAGACTAGTCTGCTAAGAAGGACGAAACGGTGGAAATAAATACATATACATATCATGTACATACGAGTATATTTATCAATCTCTTTTTTCTTTTTCGTCACTAATTCAATTTTCTAACATGTATCAGTGAATTAATACGTTCGTCAATTTTCCCACTTTAGATAGCTAAACTCAGCCATTTGCTGTCTAACTGATATTAGTATTGTATTATACATAGTATGTTAAAAATCTTACATAAGATTTCAATAACAGCGTTAATAGCGACTAACAAGTCATCCTCTCTTCGCTCGGGTTCGTTCCTAGGTTGATTCCCCATACAAACTTTCATACCCATTTTCACCCCCTTAAGGGATGATTTGCAGAATAAAAAGTCTTATGTCCTTCCCAGGGTCTCAAACTACCTTCTTACCAAATTTCATCTAAATCGGTTCAGTAGATCCAGAGATTACCTCCTACAACGTCACAAACTCACAAACTTTACCTCTTTATTATATTAGTAAAGATACGAGTAACTTTCACAAAAGTGCAACGTTTAAGTGAGCTAATTTCATGTACTACCATCTTTATATTTTAATCACCCCATCAAAGGGAAGCTTTTACATATTTAATCTTTAATCACTCAATAATTGTTTGATCCATTGAAAAATCCTAATAACTATCTCAATCATAAATATTTCTAAGATCTATAAATCTATTATAAATGTTCGAGAAGATTTAATGTTACAATTTAAGCCATGCAGTATGAATGCTTAACATTAAATAGACACAAATATATAAACAAAACCAATAGATATACCTTATATAATCACAAAACTTACTATTATACTCCACTCTGGTAATTATTGCAATTGCGATATCATTCTTAATATCTGCGTTCCAATTTGGATGAACCCTTACATCAGTGGTGGTGATCCTGGTGCCTCCAGAGAATATCAGAAGAGAACCCAAGACTATGACGAATTGAGTAGCTTGGTTCTGGCCATCCCACCAACAATGCGCCGCAGTGAGCACTCTAGTATTTGAAACCAATGACCCCCCACATATTGATTGTGCATTGCTTCTAAGAGTTATTACCATCCCTGCCTAGAATTAAACATAAAAGATGTAATGAAACAAAATATATATATATATATATATATATATATATATATATATATATATATATATATTAATAAAACAAGATTTTTTTTCTAATATAAAGAGCCACAAATATCTTATTTAGTTAAATAAAAATGTCAGCGGCTGTATCTCATGAACAATAATAGGTAGAGAATTAAAATTTTGACAGTGTGTGTATTTCTATTGCCACCATAACAACAGATAATAAAAAACCAAGATGCCTAATTTCAAAATGGCTGCCATGCAAATAAAAAAAAATAGTGTCCCTTTTATTTCTTTTACAAAAGTATTTAAAAAGTGCATAGTACTATATCTTGTATAGTATTACGGAAGCCTTCGTGTGCGAATCCGGCTCGCACTTGACCGGTTTTTAGCAATATCAATCGAAATCAAAATATTAAAAGAGGTGAGATTTCTCGATTTTGAACACAAATAAGTATTGTAAATTAGTATGGTATTTCATAGGGCATTATGGAGGGAAAATTTCTATAACCCCATTGAACACAATAGACTGCATAAGCCAGTACACTGTATAGTTACACGTTACGTGTACCTTCGTTAATTATTGTCTTTAATTAATTAAGATTTGATAGCTCGATCTGTTTGTATTGAATAGATCAATGAATTGGTTAATATAATTAAATTATTGAATATCAATATATGATGACAGAATACTACATTGTTTACATGAAATAATACTCGTAGTTTGATTTAGTTTATGTACGTGTAGACTATAGCTTTAATTTGCCTTGAATCCGACGCGTTTATATATCGGTTTTAGTTTTGATCAAGAATAAAAGTTATACATAGTTCAATTTTGTTATAATGTATTTGTTAAAATATCTGCACAAAATCCATACTTAATAAACTGTTAAAGTGTTTGTTTGTTTGTCTTTCTTTCACGTCTAAACGGCTTGGCGGATTTGGGTGATTTTTTGAGTCGACATAATAGGAGGGCTGGAGAGCGACATAGGCTACTTTTTACCGCGGGAAATTATCTCTTTTATAATATAATCCAACAAAATATTTATGATCAGAATTACTTGAAACTTGGTATAAATGCTCTTCAATACAATTAATTAAATACGTTTTTAGTATTTTCCGAATTTCATCCCATAGAGGAGTAAAATAGCCGATGAAAGTTTGTATGAAAGCTACCATTTTAGAGTTATTTTTGTAGCTTTAGCGCGAGCGAAGCCGCGGGTTTTGCTAGTAACATATAAGTATGTAATAATTTAAACTGGCACTTTCAATACTAAAAATGAAATATAAGGCATTTAATTTAGTACATAAATAAGTATTAATACACAGTATTTCATATCATGTGCTTTTTTATTACCACTGAGCTACCACTACCTTTTAAAATATTAAATTACTAGTGGCTCACCTTCGCTTTGCTTGAGTTCGTCCCTAGTTACTTTTTAGCGATTAGTATGGAATTGATAGACTATACGACATATACATATACATAGTATGATAAGTTTTATATCCCTTACTAGACAAATGATTGATTCCCCATACAAACTTTCACCCCTCTTCACTCCCTTAAGGATGAAGGTAACAAACAAACATACAGACAGATGTAAAATGTTTCGCATTTATAATATTAGTATAGATAATTGTTCTTACCTGGTATGGATATAGGGAGATCGCTGAAGTTTGTGTCCCACCAACAATCCTTGATGCTGAACGTTCTAAATTCATCAGATCTTGAGCTCTTTTAATTCCAACAGCTTGGTGATAGCCATTGCTTAAAAGATTTTTTGCTTGAGCAAAATAAATTAAATTTAATATAAATATTTTTAAATATAAGCGCATGTTGATATTTGCTTATTATGGTAGGTCTAATACAATGAAATTAAAGTGTTGATTACCTTCGATAAAATATCAATTATATTATACCTATCAGTAGATGAGTAATATGACACGATAAGATTATTAGAAAATGTTTATATTACTTGTATAACCTAAGAACAAAGAAAAGTATGTAAAAAACTTAGCTTAGAAATAATATTTTTATTGTTCGTTTTCATAGTAAAAAATATGCATTTTTCACAAATATATGACTTAAACAAAAAAAAATAGGAATTAGTTAAAAGCCTCAGAACTTTTTAAATTAATACCTTATTTTTAATTAAGGTACGTTAGTGCCAATTTTGCATTTTTTAAATTATTTTATTATTTTGTGAGTTGATACTGTCTGTAGTAACTACATATATGACGACCTTTGAGACGTCTAAAACCTTAGTATCTCCTACAACTATGATTTCTTTAATGCATTCAAAACGTCGGAAACCAAAAATCAAAATAAGTCTGCGGAAAAATCCGAAAAGATAGTTTTACTTAAAACTTTTTAATATTTTATTAAAAAGAGAGTATCAGAGTATAGAGTTTTTTTAATCTTTCTATGACAAATAGATTCATAATAATAATAATATTCTTTATTGTACACCAAAAATAAATATAAAATAAAAAAAAACAATACAAAGAAAAGATGCACAGCAGGCAGCCTTATCGCTGGCCTTATTCCAGGCAACCTTGAGGTGGAGGAGTAAGTGTTCATAAAAACGGTAGGCGGTTACTACATAATCTATACTAATATTAGAAGAAGGTAAAGTTTGTGAGTTTATGACGTTGTAGGGGGTAATCTCTGGATCTACTGATGTAGATGAAATTTCGTAAGAAGATAGTTTGAGATCCTGGGAAGGTCATATGATACTTTTTATCCTGGAAATCATATGATTTTTTGCAGTCATTGCCCAGGTTATTAGACATGAGACAGGGCCTTAATACACGTACCAACACAACAAGTGTTTATTAAATATTTTTTTTTTTTTGAAATTTAAGGGGGTGAAAATAGGGATGAAAGTTTGTATGGCGAATCAAGCTCTAGGGACGAACCCGAGTAAAGCGAGGGTGAGTCGCCAGTTAAATGTAAATACGCACTGACAAGTATATTTCATCATTATAGTATTAATATCGCAATGTTTACTTTTAATCAAGATTGGAGAATGAAAATACAAACAATTTGAGAGCTCGATGTATGCTTATTTGAATAAGATGTATGTTGAATTTGCTTTCACATCGGTAGGATCAATAGACATGTTTTGGTAGAAACATCTCATCTAGATCTTTAATAAAGACTCTCAAAACAAAATACCACCTCGATATAAAAACTGTATATAATTCACTGCTGAAGTAATTCATTGCATTTTAAAGTGAAACACCATAAAGCAGATTATTATTTAGTATATGAGTTCTTATACAATGTTTAAAGTGAGTAAATGTTTTTTCTAACTTTTTCGACAAACACAGCAGTATTTCTAAATAACAAAAAGCCGCTATTCATGAAAACTCCGTGTACATTTATATAATTTAAAGTTACGCAAGAAAAAACAAGTACCGATATCTTGCACCTCTGATATTCTCATATGCGAATGATTTCTAACTTCATTACCACTTGTCTTAGGGTGATGTAAAACTTCGTGAAGAAACCTGAAGAGATGTCTGAGAAAACCTAGCAAGTTTTCAAAAAAACATGTGAAGTCCGCCATCCCGCACTTGGCCAGCGTGGTGGACTTTGGCCTGATTCCCCTCGTACTGAAGGGAGGCCCGTGCCCAGCAGTGGAATGTTAAAAAGGGCTGAATACATAGTCAAATATTTCTGTAACATCATTTCATTATTTTTGTTGTAGTGATTTATATCTCGAAGCCCCAATAACAGTCACACTAGTAACAGTCAGGGGGCTTAGAATTTAGACAAAATGTCATTCTACAATCGGTATAGAATGGAATAGTCCCGGGTCGGGCCAAGTTTAGTTATTGGGTCTTTCTGTATAGTAAGCCTCAGTAACAGCCCGGAGTTGGGAAGTTGGCGGTGTTTCACCCCCGTGCCTGGGAGAGCACGTAAAGCCGTCGGTCTTGCGCCTTAACTCTCACTGGTCGTGTCGAGCAGTTGTCCCACTGGAGTATGAGAGTGACAGGAAGAGAGAGTGCACTTGTGTCTGCGCGTACACTTGTGCACTATAATATCTCCTGCGCAGTTGGTTAGTCTCAATGAGATTGGCCGCCGTGGTCGAAATCGGCCAGGAGAACATCATGAACAGCAGAATAACCATTAAAACATCAGAAAAATTCAGGAAAAAAAAAATTATACGGCTAACGCTGGCTAATAACAATTTATATCTACTAACGTACTTAGAGACGAACCAGAAGGTGTTAAGAAGGTTTAGAAGCGCGGGTGAGCCGCTAGTTTTCAATACTTCAATTCTATGATATCTTGTCTAAGTCCTCCAGAACTATTATTTTGGTACTTACCGAGGAGTTGAATCTGTACCCTTTGGCATACTTAATACATGCGACGTTTGTTCTCATGTAAAAACAACTTTCCATTCTTCATTGTACTTCAAGCAGGATGCAAGCGTTGCTATCTAAATGGACGCTATTGTGGTCAGAATTCGTCGTTTTTGAACGACGCGACGAAAAAATATTAATAAGCTGACAAGGTCTTATCGCGTCGGAACGAGAAGCCGGAAGGTATGAACAGGCTTTTGCCGGTCGTTTTATGTCAAGCCGTTCAGTGTGAATAGGACTAGGGTCGATAATAATATTATTTTCTTATCTTTCGGTAAGAATATTTTAATTTGAAGAAAAAGCAATTTAATTTTTATAGATGTCCTTTTTTGTTAATCTATATGTTACATGAAACTAAGTAAACTTTGTAGATATTTCCATTTGATTTAGTCCCATGACTTTCATAGTAGGTACAATATTTCTTCACTAATGCCCACAGACCAAAGGCATTTCGGCCCTGCGAGCACACGTTGAAAAGTGCATGGAAATTATGATTAATTTTATGAAAAAAATGATTTTATTTTCATAAAAATCATCTCGTAATTAAAAACAAAAACAATATCTCAAATTGTATATTGTAAGTGACGTTATAAAAATGTTACGTCAATAAGCTCTTTACGGTAGTGTTGCGACAATTTCAGTTTCGAATAATATAATAATATTAATCGAATCGTCTTTTTGGCAATTTTTGGCAAATTTTAGTAAAAACAAAAGGTAATTCAAAAAGAACTAGCTAAAGTTTTAGTGGTAGTAAAATTAAACAGCAATACTAAATACAATTATTAATTATAATTTTTAAAATATCTTACACCTCTAAATAAATTATAAAGAATGAATATAAATTTCTCGTTAAAATCGGATATTTTCATAACCGATTAGTTTAGCTACATCTTTAGACAAGTCAATCTGACAGCTGTTAAAGTGTATTTCTTAGATTTGGTGGACTTTAGTGGCCAAAGAGTATAATAATATACAAGAGGCGCACTCGAGTGGACCGAGGGTAAGTCACTAGTTAATTATAAACAACTTAAAATTAATAAAATTAAAAAGAAACGTGACGTAAGGGACGAAATGTGACGTCACTATGTTCAAGTTAGCACAATGTCACGGTTTCTAGCTATGTTTTACTACGGTAATATTACATACGGTATTCCATCTTCATACAAACAGTCGGGAATCGAGTTATACCTACGCGCGTCGCGTTCGGTATACACTCGGTAGACAACCGTGCGGGGCTGCCACATCGTATAATTGGATACGAAAATTGTATAAGGTGGTTATGTTATGTAACTTTTATAATTTGATACAAACATAAACATTTTATTCCTCCCGTAACTTCGCTAATGTCAAACAAAAAAGTGTCGAGACATCATATGTTTTAAAAATAAAAATTAAATAAATTAAAAATAAAAATTAAAGTATTTTTAATTAAACTTTTTATCTGAATGCGGATTCTTTATACTATTAAATTTAACAACAAAGCTTTTCGTATGTCTCAGTCGAGACGCAAATATTTTTAAATCTCAAATTCATAAGGGTCACATACCACCCTTATAAATTTGAGATTTTTTAATTAAATCTACTAATAATAGTTTTTAATAAAAAATATAATATTTGGAATCACAAAATTAGAAAGAAACTCAAGTAGGTAGGTGGCATTAAAATACTGTACGCGAGCAGCCCTGTCGCGTGGGGCCGCTCGGCTGTAGGTAATTATTTCAAGGACAGGCCCGAGTTGGAATACTGTATGCATTACATTACCATAGTTTTACTGTGAAAAAAATTAACATGGTACTATTATGTAACAGCATACCTATATAATGATAAGTAGAAAAAACATAGTGACGTCACGTGCCTTTGAGTTTGATCGAGAAATGTCAGTGCGACATCGCGTCACGTCTGTACTGATTTTAAAAATTTCATTTCAATTTATACAACTTTTTAATTATAATGGAAAAAAGTTTTTTTATAAATATATGACCTTTCGATTTATGACAATTCATCTAACTTCCTTAGACGGACTGAAAGAAAATTTTAAAAATAAGTCCACCTTGGCATTTTCAATGCGCAATTCGTGTATTATTTTTATGTCAAATAAAGATTAAATTAATAATAATTAATTATTATTTAGTCCATCGACATCGACGTCGTCAAAGCCGATCATTTGTAAAGAAATCTTTATAAGTAATTAATATGATAACATTATCAGTATAATGTGTCGCTAACCGAAATCAAACCCACTACAAACAGATCAGATCTAAATGATATGTGAAATTCTAAAAACACTAACAAAGTATGTCGTATATAGTTATATTTGTACTTCCAAACCAAAAGATCATCGTCGAACGAACACATTACAATAAATTATAGTTAGCTTCGCTTCCCTTTACTTAGATGCGTCCCTAAGTGACTATCACCAGCCTGTATGTTACTTCTAGTCATAGTATATCTGTTTACACGCAAAG